CTTTAATAACAAAAGAGAGAGTGGAGTAGTACTGCCACCATATTAAGAAAAAAAAAAGAATTTACGGTAAGTACAAATTTGTTTTTTCTGTCATATGGTGGCAGTAACTGAAGGGATATTGCAAGATCTTCATCTGGGCGAGACTTAGGCCACTACCGCTTGCAACACCTTACGCCCAAAGGCTGCTTAAGAGGCAGAGTATATGTCTAGCCGATAGTGCTTGATAAAGGTGTTAAACGATGACCAGCATGCTGCTTTGCAGATGACCTCCGGAGATGCAAGTGCCTTCTCTGCCCATGAGGTAGCCATAGCTCGAGTTGAATGGGCCGTAAGTGTAGTTGGAGACTGAAGACCTGCCGAAGAATACGCCAATTCTATAGCCTGAATGAGCCAACGGGACAAGATAGCACGGGAAGATACTATGCCCTTGAGGTGCCCCTGAAAATTAATGAAGAGATGATCCGATTTTCTGAATTCTTTTGTTCTTGTTAAATAAACAAACACTCTTCTGACATCCAATTTCTGCCATCTGAGCACTTGGAGATGAAGCATCGCTATAAAATGAAGGTAATATGATTGGCTGATTAACCGTCTTAGAAGACAACACTTTTGGTAGAAAGGACGGTCTTGGATAAAGAACAACCTTGTCTTTGTGAAAAATGGTGAATTCATCCGAAGAAGAAAGAGCGTAAAGTTCTCCCACTCTTTTAGCTGATGTAATGGCTATCAGAAACAAAACCTTGAGAGAGAAAATTTTTAATGGAACTTCTTCCAATAGGTTCAAAGGGATGAACGCAGAGCTTGTAGGACCAGGGTTAAATCCCACGTTGGAAACACAGATCGCCTAGGTGGTCGTTTGAGATTGATGGACCTAAAAAAATCGTCTGATGAAGACATTGGTAGCCAGATCTTTAATTAGAAAGAAACTTAAGGCCGATACTTGCACCTTGACTCTGGAGACACTCAGCCCAGCTGAAAACTCATCTTGTAAAAAATGGAGAATGTTATCTATAGATGGATGCAAAACTGGGCACTGGTGTTCCTTACCCCAGTGTAGAAACTTAGACCAAATCCTAAAGTAAATCCTAGATGTAGATTTTCTAGTAGCGTGGAGTAAGATTGCTGTTCGGTCTTCTTGTAAACCTTGGTTTTGAAGGATTAGCCTTGCAGTAGCCAAGCTGTCAACCTGAAAGTTTCTAGGACTTTCAAGGGCAGGTCCCGGTTCACAATAAGTAGATTTGATCTTGGAAGTTCCCAATAATTGATGGCCATTTCCTTTATGGGATTATCGCCAATACTCTCGCTCTGTCTGTTCTTATCTTGAGAAGGACCGAGGTGGAAAAACATAAGCCAGTCGGAAGTTCCACTCTATTGATAAAGCATCTATCAAATTGGGTTGATCTGTTCTGCATAGGGAGGCGAAATTGTGAACATTTTTGTTTGAGGCTCTTGCCATCAAGTCTACTTCTGGAAGACCAAATCTTTGTCAGGTATCTGAAGATTTCCGGGTTCAAGGACCATTCTTTTTTGGTCCCGCTTCCCTCTGCTCAGATCGTCGGCTATTATATTGTCGCTGCCTCTTATGTGAACTGCTTTGATATCTTCCAAGTTTTTTTGTGACTATTCCATAATTTCTGCACAAAGACCAAAAGGTTTCCTTACTTTGGTTCCTCCTTGGCGATTGATATGAGACTACTGTCCGATTGTCCAATTGTATCAACACTGCTTTTTGTAGTATCCAAGGCCTGAGGTGAAGTAGTGCGTAAAGTACTGCTAACAAGTCTCTGAAATTTGCGGATTCTTTTGCCTCCCCTAATGACCATCTTCCTTGGAACATGGTGAATCCTAAGTGAGCTTACCAACCTGAGCTTGAAGCGTCTGTAGTGACTATCATCCAATCCTTTGGTCGAAAGGATAATCCTCCTGAAAGGGTTAACATGAAAATTTTGTCTAAATCTTCCTCCTTTTTTGACCAGGTAGTGAGGATATTCCATTGCAACGGCCTGACCTCCGACCTTGCCAATTTGACAGCTGGAAAGGTGGCAATTACAAGATCCAAAACACCCATGGCCTGTCTGAAAGAACAAGTTTCCATCCTTTGGAGATTGGAAATCTCTTCTCGGATTTTCCTCCTTTTTCGTTTGGGAAGAAAAATTTACACGTAGACTGAATTGATCGTGAATCCGAGAAACTCCCTCTCTCGTGGGGATGAGTACTGAGTTTTTCGTTTTAAGATCCAGCCATGGTTTTAAAGAAACCTTAAAGTGACCTGCAGGTCCTTGTGCAGCTGTTGTTCTGTATGTGCAATGAGGAGCCAGTCGTCCAAATAAGGGATGATTGAAATACCCAATTCCCTCAAAAGAGCTGTTAGAGGAGTAAGGATCTTTGTAAATATCCTTGGGGCGGAAGACAGACCAAACGGCAGAGCCCTGAACTGGAAATGAACGGTGGATCTTCCTTTTTTTTTTTTATAGCAAATCTTAGAAATTTTCTTGAAGTGGTAGCAATTGGAACATGCAGATAAGCATCCTTTAAGTCTATTTTTACCATAAAGTCGCCTCTTTGTAAAAAGGGAAAAATCAAAGTGATTGACTCCAAACGAAAGCTGTGATAGGGGATAAATTGGTTTGTGTACTTTAGGTCCAGAATGGGTCGAAATGAGTGGTCTGGTTTTGGCACCAGAAATAATCTTGAATAGACTCCCCGAAATGTTTGTTTTACTGGTACTCTTTCTATCACTCTTTTTTTGTAACAGCAGCATGGTTTGACAATATAGGGCTTGTGATCTCTTTGCAGACTGGTATGTGGGTAAATACCATCTTGTATCCTTGTTGGATCAGATTTAGAACCCAAGGATTTCTTGTGGTCTTTTCCCATACTGGAAAACATTGTTGGAGCCTTCCTCCCACACTTCTGGCGTCAGAAACGTCTCTCTTTATCTCTGAAGGTTCTTTTAACGTCACCCCTTTGTTCGAATCTTCGATTTTTTTTTATCCCTTCTTTGAAAAAATTGCGGTCTCTCTTGATAAGATCTCCTATTTTTATACTGGTAATTTCTGTAGCCTGATCTCCAGGAGAACTTCTTATCCTGAGGAAGCGCCTTCTTGGTTTCTGACATTTGCCTAATGATTTCTTCTAAAGGAGCCCCAAATAATTTAGTTTTTTCTAGTGGAAGCTCACAAAGGGCTGATTTGGACACTGAATCCGCTGTCCAAGAACTTAACCATAAGGCCCGTCTTGCTACCGAAGACAGTCCCATAATTCTGGATGCCAATTTTAGAACTTCTACTGACATATCCAAAAGGTATTCATTTGCCAAGTGCATTTTCTGAAACAAGTGGTTAAGTTCTTTAACCTGGTCAGAAGATAAAACATCTTGTATCGTATTTAGTCAGATATCATTTGCTCTGGCAACCGCTGCTCCTGCCAGTAAAGCCCTGCATTGGAAACCGGCTGTCTGGTAAGCTCGCCTACCTGAGGTTTCGGCTCTTTTATCCACTGCATTCTTTAAAGCTGAAGTTTCCCCTATGGGGATAGTGGTCCTTTTAGCAATCTGTGCGACCTGAACATCTACTTTTGGGAGATCTTCCCAGATAACTTCGCCAGCGAGTCTTAAGATATCCTTGAAGTGTCTGGAAATAAAGGCACGTTTTTCAGGGTTTCTCCATTCCCTAAAAATGAGATCGACCAGGCTTTGCTGAACAAAAAAAACTTTTTTAGGATTCTCAGAACCCTGACGTAGGATTGTTAGGTTTACTTCCTTTATAAATTTTCGAATTTCATCTGAAGGAAACCCCACCGGTTCACTTGAAGAAGATCCTGAATCATCTGACTCAATTGAGAAAATATATTCCCCAGATGAACTTTCAGATTTAGACGATGACCTTCTTTTCTTGATCCTTTGTTGTATCGGGGATTCCACCTTTTTAGACTCCTTAATCGTCTCCAAGGTCTGGGCCAGATTTTCTTGGAACCAAGTTAGGAAAGATTGCATATCTTTTTGCTTATCTCTTTCCAAAGAATTTGCGGTACACTGACTGCACATCTTCCTTGATCCCTCTGGGAGAGGTGTTGCACATTCACTGCAAACTAGATGCTTAGATTTTACCGTAGCCTTTCTAGGCATGGAGGCAGCCAGCTTTTCTTTGTCCATGTCAGGATAAGCTAGACATATCTGTGGAGAATATATAAATGGAGGTTTTTAGCTTGATTTTAAATTTTTTTTTTTTCCAGAGAATATTTTAAAGTAAAGATTCTTTTTAATCTCACCTCAAAATACCTCTGAGCCGTGTGGGGGGTAGGTGACACAGTGTACTTCTTCTGACCTGCATCCATGCAGTCAGTAGGTACTGCACAGCTTCTTATATTCGCCGGATTTTCAAATTTTCGCGGTCTTTTTGTTTTTTTTAATGATATGCCTTTAAGGTTCCGGTATGCACATGTGTGTTAGCGCACCCAGAAGCTTAGGTGGATCGCAACACCACCCGGGCGTGCGTTCCACCGCTGTACGCATGCTCAGAACGAGCTCCACCTCCAGGAACCTAGTGCCGGAAACATTCTCGGCATAAGAAGATCAAACTCCACTTGCTCCGTAACGATTTAGGAGCATGGATCTCTCAGCATACTGCCCGGGCAGCTCTCGGACCGGGATCCCCCAGACAGACAACCCGTGTGTCTCACCTTATGGATGTCCTGTCCTTCCCTCTCTGGACAAGAAAGGAAAACTGGGGTAGGTTTGGCGGTACAGTGCTTTATAGGTTAAAGGGGGAGGGTCCATTTTTTAAGATTAATTGCTAAGATGTCTTGTCCACAGGGAGGAGCAAAACCCTTCAGTTACTGCCACCATATGACAGAAAAATAGGGATACAATGTTGATTTCAAGCTTGACCTGTAATTCTTGGCTAATTAAATGGTAGCTCACCAGTTTAAGTGAGATTGTAAGTTCAACAATGTTTAGCAGTCCTACTTCAAGAAAATGGTCTCTGTGACCTGCTGAGCTTCATAGCACAACTGGCAGGCTATCCCTGACCTATATAGTATTCTGCCAAGCTTTTAATCTAGCCATGCTGTCGATCTACTATTTTTTTTGCAGCGTTTAGAGTATTCTCTGATCTTATAAGGGCACAACCTCTCTATGGGCTGTTTCCTGGCACTCTGTCTATAGCTTCCTCCTGTCGTTGGAGAGTGCCACAGAATTATGTCTAGATATGATGGAGAATGGTGCACTGTGTAAAACTACCAAGCATATCCAGCTATATCTAATATTCTATAAAGTCTCCTTATACTCTCACTAATTTAAACACACTTACTAGCAATACTAAGGGAAAATGGAACAATATCTACAAAGCCATTCCCGGGGTACGGTTCTGCAGGAACATTGCGCTAATGTCATGGGTGACTGCTCAGCATTATGTAGTGTTAAAATTGCCTCCTTGTATAAGACGACACTATCATATATTATTTAATATAATTATGTAGCCATAGTTGTTTCAGAAACCAGTATAGCACATTAATGTAAAAACAAAAAAAAAAGAAGGGGGGGACACACCTAAAAACATAAGAAATGATTGGAAAGTATGTGTACATTTAGTAGCTTGCAATCACGGGTCCAAAAACAATATTTCTTTTTCCAGAAGACATATTAACCCCTTAACACCGGAGGACGTACTATTACGTCCTATTTTAAACGGCTCTAAACGCCGCCGGGCGTAATAGTACGCCCTCCGTTTTTTTTGTACTTACCCAGTCGCCAGCGATCCCACGCCGGCGATCGCGGTTGGGGGGACTGCCAGGGAGCACCCCGCGGCACATCCGACGTCCTGAAGCCCCCCCGGCCATGTGAGAGTGAGGTCCTTGCGAGGATCTTACAATCACATGGCCGGGTTAGCTGGCTTCTGTATTGCCAGCAGGGGGACTGCCTGTAATGACAGGTAGTCCCCCTGCTGGCTGGGAATAAAATAAAATTAAAAGTGTAAAAAAAAATAATTATATACTAGACACATACACTGTCTAGGTGTATTTTACTATTAATATATATATATATATATATATATATATATATATAATATTCAAATTACACGTAGACTGATACTGATTAAATATAAAATAATTAAATATATAGAAGTGTGTTATTTCGTTCTAACTGTATTGTGATATTAATATATATATATATATATATTTATATCAAAATACACGTAGAATGAAATAGATCTATATACATAAATATATACGTATATATACCTATATATAAATAAAAATATTTTTAAAAAATTATATATACACATATATTAATTCTACATATATATTTATGTAATATTTTTACATAATTAGGTATCTTAATTAATTACAATTAGCGGGACCTGCCGGACAACCCATACCGAAAGTAAAGGGAATTTAATTTGCTAGCACTATATTTAACCCTATAACTTTCCAAGACACCATAAAACCTGTACATGGGTGGTACTGTTCTACTCGGGAGACTTCGCTGAACACAAATATTAGTGTTTCAAAACAGTAAAATGTATTACAACTATGATATCGCCAGTAAAAGTGAAGTTTTTTTGCATTTTTCACGCACAAACAGCACTTACACGGACGATATTATTGCTGCGATACTTTTTACTGTTTTGAAACACAAATATTTGTGTTCAGCGAAGTCTCCCGAGTACAACAGTACCCCTCAGGTTTTATGGTGTTTTCAAAAGTTACAGCGTCAAATATAAGGCTTATGTTTCATTTTTTTCACATTAAAATTCACCAGATTGGTTATGTTGCCTTTGAGACCCTATGGTATCCCAAGAATAAAAATTACCCCTATGATGGCATACCATTTGCAATAGTAGACAACCCAAGGTATTGCAAACGGGGTATGTCCAGTCTTTTTTAGTAGCCACTTAGTCACAAACACTGGCCAAAATTGGCGTTTTTTGCATTTTTCACACAAACAAATACTAACGCTAACTTTGGCTAGTGTTTGTGACTAAATGGCTACTACAAAAGACTGGACGTACCCCATTTGCAATACCTTGGTTTGTCTACTATTGCGAATGGTATGCCATTATGGGTGTAAATTTCATTCCTGGGCTACTATAAAGTCTCAAAGGCAACGTAACCAATCTGGCGAATTTCAATTTCAAATGTAACGTGTTATATTTGACCCTGTAACTTCCCAAAACGCCATGAAGCCTGTACATAGGGGGTACTGTTTTACACGTGAGATTTTGCTGAATACAAATATGTGTATTTTATTGCAGTAAAAGCAAACAGTATTATGACATTGACAGTTAAAATGTCATGTAGAACTAAAACAATATAAAAAAATATTTTCTCCCATTTTTTTCATATTAAATTATGTTTCATAGCTAAATATTTGATATTAAATGAAAGCCCTGTTTCCCCTGAATACATTGATATATGACTGTGAGGTACAGGGTCAAAGTTTACTCAATGATGAGTCCGTGGCGAACCGTTCGGGACATCACTACTGCCTTTATATCCTGAACAGTTGTGTTAGCCTACATTGAGACTGCAAACCAAGATTGTTCTCTACATAAATTATCAAAATCCATAGAACACAAAAAATTGTTATATTACCCCAGCTCAGTATAATTGCAACAATGATGACAGTATACTAACAAATATTATAAATACAAAATTATAATTTCTTATAACAAAACACCAACCAGCAATATTTATATGTTTATGTAGAAAAATGTCAAAATGCAAGTTTGAGGTTTTCACAAGCCTCAACCAGATACCATTAAATATGCTATAGCCAACAATTCAAAGTACACACAGATTTCTTGTTTCAAATCACACATTGACATAACTATGGCAAAACAATATTCCAAACACTAAATCTAGTATCAGTTATGCCACATGATAATTGTGACATGATGCATTTTATTAATTTGAGACATAAGTATCAAACATTGATCATATGTACTTTTTAAAATTAGTTTCTCATATATCACATGTATTAGTCTATTATAGTCCAACCAGTTGAGAAATTAATATTCTACTTAAGGGAAAATAGAGGAATTCCGTATAACCTCATTCTTGGTTCCTCTTCGGAACTTAAAGGAACCCTTCAAACACCTTTAAATATTTTAGCTTTTTTTTCTTAATTTTTACTAAAAAATAAATACAGATTTTAATAGAAAATGTCTCTTTCATAAATTCAACTTGTTACACCCCAATGGCTGTAAAAAGACAACTGGTCTTGTGCTTTCCTGATTACTAAGCTTAGTGGAGCTAAACTCAGACAAGCAAATGACTGCTAACTGGGAAGTGTGTGACTGGACAGCCACAGAAACCATGGGCTGGGGAAGTAGGGTAGTGCTTGCAAAGCCTGCAGATCTTCAACCTTTTAGGTTTGAAATCTTTCTCCTGTCTAAACACGTTTGAGGTCTATTCACTAAACGCTAAGCAGCAACCAAAAGGTGTTCGGTTGACACAGTTTGACTGTTTTAAAACATTTTAGTTATTTACACAAGACAAACACGGCTTCATCCAAGTTTGCTCTTCCATGTCACAGCAGTTCCGTTGTCTGTTTAAATTGGACAAATCGTTATGTGATGTCACAGATTAGACTATTCACACACAAAAACAACAAATTGCCTTCATTCAGATGTTCCAATCCCCCCTGATACAGACCAAGATATTTGTACATGAAATAGGGTGATTAGCTAAAGTGGGAATGGTTGGAAATTTAAAGTGAATTCATGTTACATTTCAAATTTAAGGTAAAATAAGACAAATTTCTAGGCAATTATGCTTGTAGTTTGCCTGGTTTTACGTTCCATTTTAAACTGAATTTTAATTGTTGACAATTCTCACTTCAGTGAATATCCCTGTAAACCTTTGTAATCTCAAGTCACCCTAATGTTTCCCCAATGTCCCCTCATCCTCTTAACCCTATAAGAATAATTCAACCCTAACAACTCACACAAATAAAAAAAATCCTTTACTTACATAAGTGTTCTTTTTGTATCAAGGAAATTCTAATTCAGCTGCAATTTGGTTTGAGTTCTGTGTTGAGAACAGCGATTTTGAAATACATCTCACCACAGCAATGAGATCCATTTAATAATAGAATTAATCTATTACTGTGACCCAATACATTGGGCCAAAGAGGATGTTTCACAATTGAATGCAGGAGAATGCATTAAATTGTAATAGACCCTACGTGTGTATTTCCCAAGACCTGTTCCATTGTTTTCTTAGTTAACAGTGTTACACAATTCTTAATTGTCATTGTAAGTCATTACATTTCTTTGTATTCTTGATTAGAATTGGTCATTGGTTTGAACAATTTAATATGTTGAAAAGTTCTGACAGATTATGGTTTCTTTAAATGCTGCTTTTTTTTTTTTTGGTCTGAAAAACCATGAAATAAGTAGATGGCTTCATTATCTGCATGTCTGATAAAAGGCAGCACAGTATGATCGCGATAGGTGACCAAGTATACATATTCATCATTGGCTAAAGGAATGTTCTAACTACCAATATTGCCACTGCTCGTTGTAGATTTTGGTGCCAGGAGTCCCCTGGTGCTGTTAAGATTCTGTTTTGGAATTATTTCAAATTTACTTCGTCTTGCCCCTCATCACAGGTATTGCAAAAGTGGAAGATCTGCGATTTAGGAATTTTAGGTTTGTGCAAACTTAGAGTTCATTGTCCATCCTTCTCTAATATTTGAGTAGAGTACTTTAAATGGATCCAATGGAATGTATTCACAGCTTGTGAAGAATTGACAAAAGTATTGCATATTTCGACCTAAATTAATGATAAAATTATCCTGCTGCTATTAAAAAAAAATAAAATATATATATATATATATATATATATATATTTTAGAAGTGAATTCTGTTGTCGGCACTCTATGAGTATTACTTTCTTTTGTTTTCGTTTACTACTAGTGGTATGACACGTTCTTGCTACCCTATCGCCAAGGCTATTTCAAACAGCCTTGTTTCTCTTCCTCTGTGTCCTGTCCATTTCTTTTTGGCAATGGTTCGCTGAGAGCGCTAGGACAGATTACAAATTAAAACATATCTCCATCGTCCTAAATGTATTCACTCAAATGGAAACAAACCAACTTTTACCATGTTGGACATCCTATATTCTTCTGTCTCTGGTTACGTCCTTTGCCTTAAAGATAAGGGCTAACTGCAGTGTGAATAGTTATTTAGCTTAATATCTTTGGGGGGGGGGGGAAAGGACGGGTTCAGACATTTTTGTAAAATGTCATCATTGTATAATAAAATCATTTTATATGTAATAAAGGTCATATTTCTCATCCAAAATGTTTTAATTTGTTGCTATTTTCTGCAGTATGTATTCAATGTAAAATTCATTGGCAAGATCCATAGTTGCCAACTGTCCTGAATTTACTTGGACAGTACCAAGATTTTAGGCTCCTATCCCTGCAAAAATACAGAACTACCAGTGACGTAGCCAGTATAGCTGCCTATGGGCCCGTAGGAAGATAGCTAGATATAGGTTTTGCCTATTTCTTTGTGTGTGTACATATCTATGTGTTGCAGGCCCGGACTGGCCATCGGGCAAACCAGGCAAATGCCCAGTGGGTCGCGATGGCGAGCTCCGATATTATCAGAGCGTTGTCATGGTAAACTGTGTCAGATATTATCAGAACGTTGCCATGGTAACCCGTGGCAACGCTCAGTAATAGCAGCGCTCGCGAGAGGGAGAAGCATGCTCTGTACCCTGCGTAGATACAGACCGAATAACCTTCTGGCTGGACCATCAGGGATTGTCATCAGCATCCACTTGACACACTACACCCCCTGCACTTACACACAACACACTCTCTATACCCCTTATATACACCCCCTGCACTCACAAACACACTACGCACACTCGGTCCCCCTTTAAATACACACACTAAACCCCTGCACTTACACACAAATACATTACACATACTCCATAGCCCTTATACACACACACCACACACACTTCACTCACATACACAAAGTGCACAAACTCTATATCTCCTAAACATACACTACACACCCTGCACTCACACACTATACACTATATCCCTTATACACGCCACACCTCTATACACAAACTACTCTATACACGCATACACACACTATTAACGTTTTGGCCCTGCCCCTCACTGTGGGCTGCTCTGCCATTAACTGCCCGGGCTGAATTTTCATCCCAGCCCAGCCCTGTATGTGTGTGTCACTGTGCATGTATTTACCTGGAATAAGCATATGTATGTGTGTGTGTGTAAGTGGGGGATGAAATGTATCAGTGCTTGTAATATGGTTGCTAGAACTTCCCTGGAACCAGAGTCTCTTCTTTTCTGGCGGAATGGTCAGTATAGAAGGTAGTGTCAGTCACGATGACTGTCTGGAGGAGAATGGCGTTGCACGAGGACATGGCCCCGGAGCTATCACCTCATATCACATAACCTACGATTTCCCCCAGCGACGGACCCCCGCTACGCCATAGCCCTGGGATTACCATCCCCCTGTAGGCTGAAGGACGTGTACAAACAGGGCCTGATCACGCCTCTGGGAGAACTAGTCCCGAATACCCCACACACCTGGCTACTCCGCTTCAGATACCACCAATTGACAAGATTTCTGAAGAACATACCTGGCCTAGACTCCGCATCACGAGCGCTCTATACTTTCGAGGCCATCTGCACGAACCCTCAGCCCCACTGCACGCAATTTTGTTCCTCTAACGCTTGCAAACCACACCTCACACTGATGCACCTCTGCCTTACTTCACTAGATACTGGGAAAGGGACCTAGGACACACACTCTCAGCAGAACAATGGACCACAGTGTTTACACACACACACAGCCTCCATATCCACTAAATTCAAGGAAACAGGGTACAAAATGATCTCACACTGGTACAGGACACCAGAGAAACTAACCGTAATGAAGACAAGCTGCGACCCGGAATGCTGGAGATGCGGGAGGGAACTAGGATCCCTCTTCCATATCTGGTGGTCATGCCCACTCAGATTTTATCCTTCTGGGCAGCAATCCACGCAGTACTAGCAACCATAACGGACGCGAACCTACAACTCACATCTGAAACCTACCTGCTCCAACTAACCACAATTCCCATAAACAGATTTAAAAAAATCAGTGATTCCGCACCTACTAAACGCGTAGCCTTATCCCGGGACACTGGAAACGACCCACGGCCCCGACACTACGAGAATGGAGGACCCGAGTGGAGGACATCAGACGCATTGAGGAGCTAATCCTCTCAGCGGCAGGGCGCATACAGCGCTATCATGACACTTGGTACCACTGGCTCCAGTGGCTCGCCTCCCCTTCTGCGAGTATGGGAGACACACAACCCCCGGTAGAAGCCAGGAGGCTCTTGGCCCCGACGGGAACCGACAACCGAGACCACGATGGAAAGGACCCAGGATGACCCCACGGACACCACGCCTGGGGGTGTGGGGAGCTAGGATGGGGACCTGGGTTCGGACCCCCTTCACCTACCCCTAACCGTTCACACCTCACCCCGCCTGACCCAACGTCTAACCCCCCTCCTCCACCTTTCACACCCCTGTCCTTCACTACCCCCCACACACCCTCTCCCCGGCAATTCCAACCACCCATAACCCACTACTGACACAACAGTAATGGGACATGAAGCCACAAAGAACAACCCACGCACGATATCCCCCCTCCCCCCTGTCCCAGGAACACAACCACACAACCTATGCGTGCCCATGAAACAAGACCATAACACAACCTCCCTTCTTGGAACACCCTGCACCACAACATAAAAGCCAGACCTGCCAGACAAGCAACCACCGCCCTGAGACCAAGACCCACCTGGGATGCATATCTGATACCCCAGATTGCATCACCGGTCCCACCACACGGCCTCCCCCGAAGACACACCAAAGCTTCCGGATGCTGTATCATCCTTCCACCCCTCACACTTTCCCCCGACTCGAGGTGCTAACCACCCGAATGCGATTCCTATATCATTGAACCCCGAACAACAATAAAACCAAGGACAAAACGAGGCAAAATAGCATCATCCCAAAGGACAAGCACACCTGCCAGCAACCAAACAATCGGGCCCCGCAGGTGGCGGGACGACTTCACTGACAAGACCCACGCGCAGTGGTGTATCCTGGTTTTGTGCTGCCCTAGGCAGGACAAAACTCAGGCGCCCCCCTCCCCCCCGCGCCACCCCCACCCAACCCTTCCCCCCGCCCCACCTTCTAAATACACACACAGTCAGACACAAACACACACACACACAGTCAGACACATACACAACACACACACAGTCAGACACAAACACATACACACACAGTCAGACACACACACACACACACAGACACATACACAAACACACACACACACAGTCAGACACATACACAGACACAAACAGTCAGACACAAACACACACACATACAGTAGACACACACACACACAGTCAGACACACAACACACAGTCAGACACAAGACACACACACAAACACACACAGACACACACAGTCACATACACACACACACACACATACACAAGCACACACACACAGTCAGACACATACACAGACACAAACAGTCAGACACAAACACACACACATACACAGTCAGACACACACACACACACACAGTCAGACACAAACACACACACACAGTCAGACACAAACACACACAAACACACACAAACACATACAAACACATACACACACACACAGTCAGACACATACACAAACACACACACACACAGTCAGACACACACACACACATACACAGTCAGACACAAACACACACACAGTCAGACACATACACACACATTAACTTTTTTTTTTATTTAAATCTCCCCCCCAACCTCCTTACCTTTAGGAGTGCTGGGGGGGGGTCTCTCTCCCTGGTGGTCCAGTGGCTGCAGGGCGGGCGGCGCTGGCAGGCGGGCGGCTGGCGAGGGAGCACTTCCTATGAGCTGACTGCTCAGCTCCCTCGCGCGTCGGCTGCAGAGTGAGGCTGGGAACCGGAAGATGACGTCATCTTCCGGCTCCCAGCTTCACTCTGCGGTGCGCGAGGGAGCTGAGCAGTCAGCTCATAGGAAGTGCTCCCTCGCCAGCCGCCCGCCTGCCAGCGCCGCCTGCCCGGGATGTCAGTTAGCCGCGAGGCTAACAAGGCATTTGCACTGGGCATTTGGGGGGCGGCATTTTTTGCCGCCCCCTGAAAAATGCCGCCCAAGGCAAATGCCTTGTTTGCCTCGCGGCTAATACGTCCCTGCCCACGCGGCAAACGCACACACATGACAGCACCCCAGTGACAGCCCCCTGTTACACCACACACCGACTCACTTTGACCCCCCAACTAATTCCCCTTAAACACCAAACGGACCTGGCCGCAGCGGAACCCCCGACCTGCATCTCCCTGCTGCCCACAAAATCCTTCCCCTCATATCTGAGCATTAAGTTTTATGTTTCATGTTCCACATCTCAGTGTAATACCTTTTTAACTATACACCCCACTGGTATTGCTAACCATAGCAAACCCCTACCACACAATCTAACCTCACACATACCTTACTAAATGGGAATGCAACTCATAGCAGACAATGTTAGGTATCTGATTTGTCATACATGTACTATATATTCACAAACCGAAATTCGAACTGTATACTCTGCTGACCTGCCCAGCACTGTAATCTGTCTTGAAAATGCTCATATTCATCTGTGACTATTGAATGACTTCAATAAAAACTTTGAATGACCCAAAAAAAAGAAGGTAGTGTCAGGAAGCAGCGCCTATAGTAGTCTTCTCAGGCTCGGTGAAATACAGGGGAGAGAGGAGAAGACACGGATATAGTGTAGTATGTTGAATTGCTTGATAAATAAAGAAAAATTGCTTATTGATAAATAAAGAAAAATATTGCACTTACAATTTTCTGGAGCTTATATTCAGCTCCAGATATATGCGCCTGGACGGTACAATCCCTGTCAAAGGATATGATGATGGTCCTGGTGTACTCTCAGAGGCTTCTTTGGGGTCAGGGCCGTCAGAGCGTTGCCATGGATCACCATGGCAACGCTCCGCGCGACACGCTGGCCGCGAGAGTTGCACTGGGGAGCTGGAGGAGCTGCTGGGAGGTGAGTAAGCGCTTGCTCTCCGCCCCCCCAAAGCTCAGCCAATACCACCAGGGACTGTCATATCCCCCCTCCCTGGCCAGGTAACAAGC